GTCACTGACTGCATGTCCCACCCTGTTTCATGTTGGAATGGTGAAGCATTTCCATTTTGGGACACCATCCCAACATATCTGATTAGTGCAGGTCTAGTGCGCAAATGCCCCCTAATGCCAAGCCAAGCCCTCCCCTGTCCTGATGTAATTTATACCCTCCATTGCATCACTGTTCTGCTGTAGCATGATTGCCTTCTAGCTTATGTAGAGTAAATGAAGACTTAATGATTACAGGGATCTGAGTCATAACCAACAGATATAAGCACTTGTCATTTCTCAGGTAAAACCCAACATATCCTAAGTGGCACAATCAATGTGAAAATCCCTTGCATCCCTAGCAAATAACAGACTCTAGGTGGTAAGTCCAACTCTTTTTTCAGCCTCTAAGGGATTCAAATTTTATTTATTATTCCAATGCAATAATATTTGTGCTCTTCAACCTGTCTATTTTGTGCCCTAATCAACTACCATTGCTATATATTTTAACCTATAAACTCATGTATAGGTTTCCTTGACATTATTTACTCCAATGTAATAATGATTATGTGTGTGTTAAATCTGCAGCAAGGGTTCAGATAAACAAGACAAACTTGTCAAAACCTGCCCTGCAGATAAAGGCTCACTTGCCAGCTCTTTTTGGATGAATGAAGCCATTCTTGCACATACAGATCCTTGCTAATCTCCCCATATCCTCAGCATTAATGAATAAAATAGGCTTTGTGGTGTTGCTTTGTTAGCAATATTCCATAGCAAATAACCCTGAGGTTACATTTGTTGTTCTTTAGCTCTTTCCCCTTAATGTGTCTTGCAAACAGAGCGTAATTCAAGAGCATAGCTGACTGTAAAGGTGTACAATAGCAATTTTTGCAATGACAGTGCAGAGAGGGGATATGAGATCTGTGTGCTAATGAGCTGACACTGCAGAGGCTGAGGAGATGTAGTAGAAGGCACTACAACAGCACAGCATAAAAACACAAGCAGGCTCTTTCAATAAAATTTGATCCAAGCAACCTTAACATAATACACATTAATTCTGGCACTGTCACCAAGTTGTTAGCTGCAGTGAAACGCCTTATCTATCGTGCTGCAATTATTCACTTAGGCCAGTCTATATTTGCCTCATGCATCTACTGCATCTTGACTGTCAGTAAATGACATCAATGTATAATATTGGCAAAAAGATGTGTCTTAATAAACAAACAGACCGGCAGATATGAGAATAGGTTGTCAGCATTATGAAGAGTATGAATGTGGGTTTTTGTATGTGCATGTCAGTGTGAGTATATCTGTGTGTTTATGTGTACAGAAAGATAGATGGGTCATTTATGGAAATATAGATAAGAGTGATAACCTTATTTCATAACAGTGAATAAATAATAGTGTGTACTAACCAACAGCAACTTATCTGAATTCAACAGATTAAAGCAAGTAGACTAGTTAAAGCTTGTTTTTGATTGGCTGTTACTCATTACCACAAACCACTGCTCTTCTATTAAATGAGTGCCATAATGTATTAGGCTGTTTTAGCATTATTATAGATGTATGAATGCAAAATGGATAGCATTATTGTCTTTCAGATCTGTGTTTGATTCCTTTTGTGTTCCATGCAGGTAATGCTTACCTGCATGGCATTTGTATGGTTGACCCATTTCGTTTTTACAGACATTCTGCTTTCCTTGGAAATCTACAAAGATATTGTCTGGTTAATAACATTACCCCCATATCAACTCAATTGGTGTGTAACTTGGGGCAGTAGACTGTTAGCTCATCTGGAGACAAGGACGGATGTGAATAGTTCAATTTTCCTTGCAAGGTGCTGAGGAAAAATGCTATATAACTATGTATAAAACCCCTAAAATGTTCTTTACAATACATTTTTGGTCTCTCCTTGGTGTAATAATGGTGAAGTATTTTGGGGGAATATTAATATTTTTAGGGCCTTTGCAGATTTGTTTATTGTTCTAATACAAAATATATTACCATGATCAGTAAGCCACTATAGACTTTAAGGACAAGCTTATCAAATACAAAGGTGTATCTCTTTACCAAAAACTAAGAATCCACCACTAAAATGGTATCAGACTTTGTCGGCTTCATTGCAGACACAGGAGCCCTCTAAATCTTGAGAGCAGTGTTTTTTCTCTAGCAGACTCAAAGTGAACAAACTATATCATCTTGGGAGCTGTGTCAGTCACTTTATATTGACCTTCCTCCAGTAAAGGCAAAATGCCTTTCACGTTGAAAAAAAGGGTCCCAAGTAACACATATGATGTTATGTGTTAGAAATTCACAGCGTACAATTAAGTCTCATGTCTTGGAACTCTACTTTTTCTAAATAAATACAGTTTCCCAAACTAGAAGACTGCATGCTGGGTTGTCCTTTTACTTTCAGCTTTAGAAAGTAAAAGCTTTCTGACATTTGAAAATTAATGCTTTTTATTCTTCAAAGTGCACATTTTGACACTATGAATGCTTTATATGACTGCAACCATTAGCGGTAGTATGCCTTGGCCTGCTTTGTGTTTGAAAGTTAATAAACATGGTTACCCTTTGCTAGTCTAACCAAATTCATCCCATAGAATTTGCAATACCCCAAGTTCTTGTTTAATATGCTACTGGTAATAATAAACCAATCATTGTTATCCTGCTGCTCTCTGCTTGTGCTAAAGCAACACTTACATGTCATTCCTTTAACTACACTTGCAAACTAGTGTGGAATTACCTTGTGGAATTTCCTTCATTTCCATAGTGAAATATTGTTGATTGAAATCAATTACTGACAACTAAGTCTAAAGGCTTTGTGCATTTAAATTTAATCCATTCATTGATATTTGCGAAATGGTGTTAGAAAGCCAACCTCTTGAAGGGATTACTTTGATTAAGGATTAAGGAATTTAAGTGTTTGATTGAAATAACATTCATTGAGGAAAAAGAGCAATACACTGAAAATTGTGTAGGCGTTCTGTACATGTTTGAACTTTTGAAGAACTTTTTCTTTTTTACATGTATTAGTTAAAAGTCATTAAAGCCTTGTGTTATATCACCTAGTAAGCGCACTGGGTGTTTTCAAGGGGTTCATTTAGGGTAATTTAATAACAGAAAGGCACCCACGGTCAATATTATGTGAATTTGCCTAGCTGGTTTAGTTTTAAGCGTTAGTCAGAATGATTTCAAGGTATAAAGTTCTATGAACAAAGACTAATACATTACAGCAGCCAATCAGCAATATTTTATTTAGTAAACGTGATGACCTATTAAACTGATTCATGTGCATGGTTTGGTTTTAATTTTAAAATCAGAGAAGGTAAATGTGTAGTTAATGACTTTTCTAATAAAAACAATCCCTCTGGTCTACTAAAAAGAAATAGAGGATGCAAACATCTGTATGTTGAGAATCCTCATATTGGTGGGTTTTAGCTTTGGACTGGGTAACAGTTGACTATAAATGTACAGATATTTTCTGTAAAATAAACTGTCAAATAAATTTGCTCCTGAGAGACTGTATGCAGCAACACTTCACACATATTTTCCCCCAGCATACTTATTATTTTATGTGGCCCACAGAAGCGAATCAAGCACTGCTTGAAGAAGAGCTCATTAAATTCTATGCAATAAACCATGAGGTCCTGGTATTCCTAACATTTAGATCATTCATCAGAATGGTCTATAGAACCTTGCCTTCATGCACAGAAATATTTGCAAGCTATCACAGAATGGCCAGTTCCCCAGTGTATGCTGTTGCGAATGCAGACTGTGTAAATGCTGCATTTGATGCATTCCATTCACATCACAAGTCATGTCTATAATATACTATACATTAGGGGAGTTTTAGAAGGCAGAAAACAGAGAGATGGACACAGAGAGGCAGACAGAGGAGGACCTTAAGAGAAGGTCAAAAGGTGGAATCAATATACAATAGTGAAGAGAGGGTAATAATTAGGGCACGAAACAGAAGGAAAGAGAAACATTATAACAGAAAAAAGAAAATAGGGATAGGGGAAAAAGAAAATGGGAGAATAGTGGGGTAAAATGAGAAAAAGAGAGAGAGGCAGGGAGAGAGAGTGTTGGGGAAAAGAGAGAAAGAGAGGGTGTGAAGGAGTGGGGGTAATAAGAAAGCGATCCATAGAAAGATAGGCAGGAATGAGGGTAATGATAGGGAGCCAAAGAGAAAGGTGGAGGGTAAATATAGAGAAATCCAGAGAGAGAGGGAGGAGTGGGGGGTAGAGAGAGACAGACAGAGGGAGGAGTGGTGTAATGATAGAGCGAGAGACAGAGAGGGAGGACTGGGGGTAAAGAGAGAGAGAGTGACAGAGAGGGAAGAGTGCGGGGGGAGGGGTAATGAGAGAGGGAGACTGACAGAAAGGGAGGAGTGAGGGTAACAAAAGAAAGAGACACGAGAAGAGGGGGTGATTAATAGGAGAGACAGAGAGGGAGGAGTAGGGGGGGGGCTAACAACAGAGGGAGAGTGAAAGAGACAGGGGGAGGAATGGGGGGGTTAACTAGAGAGGGAGAGAGACAGATAGAGAGGAGGGGGGGTACCAGGAGAGTAAGACAGACAGAAGGAAAAAAGGAAGTAAAGAGAGAGACCGACAGACAGAAAGGGAGGAATGAGGGTTAATGAGAGAGAGCCAGAGAGGGAGGAGTGGGGGTTCATTAGAGAGAGTGAGAAAAAGAGAGATTGGCTTCTTCTTCTGCAGTCTATGATTTGAGTGGTCCTCCTTAAACAAGTAAATCTTAGATATGTACAACAGAAAATATCTTAGTAGGCTCTCCTTCAACAAGTCTCCAGAATATGCACTGACATCACATCTTAACCATTAGTTCAAGTACAGAAAAAGTTCCATAATTTCACCAAATGTATATTTAATTGTTTGTTAATGTGGTTTGAAAAACAATGTTTTCATTGAATTTTTAGCATGGAGAAAGCCTGTCATACATTCCATCACTAGAAACATATAATACATACAATTGCTTTATGTCACAGATCACAAGGTACTCACATGCATTGGTTACTGAGAAACTGTTGGATGAGTCTAAGTGATCTACATGGTGGAACAGCTGGAAGGGCCTCTCCGTGTTATTTTGGTTGGTGTTGTGCAGCTGCACAGCAAATAAAAATGCACTGTGTTCCTGAATTGTATTTTTCATGAAAAGTCCACCTATCAAAACACAAAAGAAGAGACCGATGGAGAGGGCAGGCACAAGATAATAATAATAATAATAATTAACCCAACACATAACATTTTATTATCTTTTTTTTATGGTACAAGACAAACAGGAGGTTATTACAGAATACTGTATGCCGTTTTATGCATATTTAACTCTTTGGTTACATCACATGCCCTGGGCCTTTAAGAAACGAATTAGCGTGATGCCCCAGCAGTGCTTAATTCAGCTGTAGTGTTTCTGTCTTTCTTTTAATACAATTTACTGACTACAGTTCTTCTACAGCTTCCATCAAGAACAAGACGAGCAAAGCTATTCAGCAAGGAGAAAGATGTATCTAAATGGAAGGCTGTTTCTTTACATGCTGCCCTTTATCACTGCATTCAGACTACAAAGAGCTTGCAGTGCCCCTGCCAGTGAAAACTGAAAAGAATTGTGCCCATGATTTAGGTTAACATTGCTTCACACAAGTCTAGTAACTTTTCTGCAGTGTGCTGAATCAAAATGAAGCTGTGCACATCCCAGAGGCAGCAGCGACCACTGCAAACCCCTTCTACTTTAATCCAAAACTGCATTGACTCAGTCTGTTATACTGACATAATATATCTTAATCTAGGTTTTTATCTGCATTATGCACACATTGCTTTCAGCGGGCAAAGGGTAATTCCTTTATTAAACATGTAGGCATAAGGAAGGGGGGGGGGGGGG